TCAGGTTGAATGGTTAATGCCCAAGATTTCTGCCTCCAGGAGGCTGTAGAGGTACTGAGCACCTCGGGGGCAACATCATCATGGCAAACAGGTGTCGCTCCACTCTCTTCTGAGGCCACAGGCGAGGGCAGGCGCAAGCTCCAATCTCAGGGTCCAAGTCCAGGGATTGTTTGCAGATTGCTGTGGGCCATGTCAGGACTTTTTGCTTTTCACCGTCACAACCTCGAGACTTGAAGACTCCGGTGAAACCGTGCCCGAACTCACTTGAGCGGATCGCAATTTGTGAGCCTTGCTGGTGGGGATGAAGCGAAAGGCAAACACTCTTTCTGGCCCGGGTCAGTCAATCGGCAATCAAACGGCCAAGCCGAGCTGGAGATGGCTGGTGTCGCTGAAGCATAACATCAGTAAGCATTTTCATTCCTGCCAAGAGACGTGTAATCGTCATTCATTTGACAGAGGCCAATCCCGACATTCCTCAGGGTGCGGCTGGACAATTGCAGAAAGTATAACAATTTGACAAACCGTTGCTTTCCCTTAGCAGGAAATGCCGCATGTTCCGACGCGTCAAAAGGCTGTCGATAATGTGTCAATGCTGTCATTTTCTGCTGGAGAGGTCGGCGGTTTGCTGTCACAAGTGCCCGAGATTGCCCGAGCATAGGCTTTCCTGCCTGTTCTCCAGTACGTACACGTCGCTTGTGGGTCCAGATCTCAGCTTGCCCTTACTCGGCTCGATGATGCACGTGCCGTTGTTTGGAAACTTTGAACTACAACATCCGAACCAAGCTGACCTCGGCCATTCAAGACGTGATGCCTACAATGACTCCATTACTTACTATAGTTTCTCTCTTTATTCAAGTCTCCACGCGCAGGGCGCAGCGCTGAAGTTTGACGCCGTGGACCTGGAGGAAGCAGTACTGATCAGAACATATAACATGTGCAACGTAGCATACTTCGAGCGATGAGATTCTACATGATTCTACGTGGCGGCAGGAATGCGATGAAATCCCGCGAAGTGTACCCATGCGAGATCATGCAAGTCTTACACCGCACAGGTCCCTTGGCACGGACAGCCCTCCCCACTGGCTTCCTTTCACATTTGTTTATTAAGGCAGGTTCTTGGAGTGCCCGGCATAAATTTTCATGCTGACATGCCTCCACTAAATACCAGGATGACACGAGGAACCTCAACAAACAAACCGAGGTGCCCGCTTGCCTATGCTTGGACAAGCTTGTGCTTGTGCTGTACACAAGATGGTGCCAGATGGTGCCAGCACCCATCTCAAAGCCCGAATCATGGGATTTCCACTGGCGCATTCCTCAAATGGCTGGAGGTACTGATGCTGCAACTGTAGGATGAAAGTTGCTGCTGGGTTTTGTCGCACGAGACATCACGAGACCCAATGATGACTCAAAGCCAACTTGCCTTGCAGCCGATCTTTGCCGAACTTGCACTTTTCCCGGGGTAGGCGTACGGGGTGCTCGACGAATCCAAGGCAATTGCAGAACTTCGCGGTCGTCATAAGTCGCGAGCTGCATCTGCGTCGGTGTTTTGTGGGCTCTGGTCTGCCGAGTTCTGCCTAGATCAGCAGCTCGCAGAACTGGCTCGTACACCAACGTACTTATATAAATTATGTCGTCTTTGCAAAAAGGGGTCGGGTGTTGCAATGAACTGGAACTTGCAATGCCTTGAACGCCAGCCGCTCCTGCCAAGCGACAATCCGAACGCCTTACGGCACTTGTGCCATTGTCTGCGGTTGGCTGTTGCGAATCTTGCAGCTTAGGAAACATCATCTCCCACCGTGAAGACTGCTTGCAGCGCTTCCCTGTTTTGTGCCAACTGCCGATGACACCTTGTGGGGCGGAGCCGGAGCAGTGCGGAATGCCTGGTGTGCGCGCCTTTGCCCAAGCAAGGCCGTAGTCTTTGGGGAGCGTCGCAAGACAGTGTGTCCTCTAACCAAGTTCCTGCTGAAGGATGCGGGACAGCTCCTCGTACCACGCTCGGGGCGTCCGGTCTACTGTAGACAGGTTTCAAGAGCTTGATGATCTGTCCAGGACGCATCCCTTTCAAACCTTGCTTAGGCTGCCTCATGAACATATCGGGTTTGTCCTTAAGGGGCGCACCTTGAAGGAAAGCATTCGATATGTCCCCTATGTACCAATTCTGAGACCAAGCAAAACACGTAAGCAAATGTAAGAAAATCATGGTTGAAACACGTTCAGTCGTAGGAGAATCAACTTGGACCTGACCAGTTTTGCTATCAGGGCATAAATGCCCCTGGAGGCAAAGTCTAGCCTTCGCTTTGACCGGTAGAGGCTTCCTGTCTAATCCAAGCAGGCCTGCATTCTTGTCTCGAAAGACGTATCGGCTCGGAAGAGTGCGCTCAGGACATTCCTTCTCAACCATAGCACTCTCCTCTGACGAAAGAATGTCGCAACTCTCGTAATCCAACCATGACTTCCACTCTTTGTCCTCAGCAGCCTATACAGGTGACTAGTCTCTCTGATCTGAAGCAACGCAATCGAACGGAATCTCCTTTTCCATCATTCTCTGCATCTTTGGTCTTGCTCTCAGTCTTCTTATAAAGGTAACAGCATGAACCGGGGCTTCGGCTTCACCGCGCTTCTGACGTTTGACTCTGTATGGGACGTCATCCAAGCACATCTCTTATCGAGTTCGACTCGTGATCAGGCCTGCCGCAGTTCCTCCAGGAATGAACTGATGATTGATGATGATCCTCCAGATCTGCCCATTTAACCTCCTTTTCAAGACATGTCCACTGAGCTTGATGACACGCCCACGAAGTTCTGTAAGGGAACTGCTCACTCGGATAGCGCAGTTCGGGACTTCTAAAGGCCCAAACCTTGTGAGAGATGAGTACAGGATTACCGTGTTGGTCCACGTGCCATCGCTCTCAGTCCCTCAGTCTCAAGAACATCTTCTTGCGTCTTGCATCTCCAAGTCCTCACTAAGATCCTGACCAAGAGGCTGTCGCTCAACATCAGTAACCGCTGGCGGAATCTTTCGCAAGAGTGCTATTGCCTTCTGAATCTCAGGATTGCCAGAATGCTTTTCGTCCCCAAAAGCTTCCCGAAGATGCTCCCCAGCAACAAGAAAACACCTTCCACCAATAGCCACCCAAGCATTCCTGTCCTGAAGGCCGACCACGTACCCAGGACCATGTCAGGAACTATGATTATCGCCTTTCTTGCCCCGTGCCTCTCTCCAGACAAACACAGGCTGACCTATCTTCGGAATGGGTATCTTCCGAGTCCGATTGTGCGCGGTCCTGAGGAGCATCTGTCGAGCTTGGCTCCGAACGAACTCCATCTTCGCATGATACCTATACCTCATCCTGACGGCCACATCACTATCGGCTTCGCCTACAGCTGGGTGATACCCCACGGGATTCCTATCCTGATGGAGCTCTCCCAAGACCCGAGGTTCCCTTCCAAACACCAGTGCAACAGGGGCCCACGCATGTTCGCGGACCAAGGAATTCTTAGTGCAGGTCACCTCTCAGCTGTGCCCGCAATGGACCCCGCCTGAGACACCTTTTCCCAGAAGTCCTTACCCTGAAAGCCTCCTTCCATGTCCGCTGCTACCCGAATCCATCAGGCCCATCTGCGGTCAAATGCGCGGTACAACTCTTCAGGTGAGTGATATGATATGACGTAGCCCGATCAATGATAGACAAGAACCAATATGCCTGTTTCTGACCATCATGAACACATATGCAATCCAGCTGAACCTCATCTCCAGCCTGACATGGAGGAATGTTCGTGGTGCGATGCGTGCTGGGACGCCTTGCATGTGCGCATGTAACGCATCTCATCCACCCGACAGCTTCTAACACCTCACGACGTGCACCTCCAAGTTTGAGAAACCGAGTAAGATCCTCTCTGCTAGGGTGTCCCAGATTGCAACGGGCTTTGACCAGCCCCTTTCGGATGGCCTCGCTCACTCTTCTCCCGGCAGGGACCTCAAACGTAATACCATGTTCACCTCTTGGCTTCCTGACATGCTCCACAGGTGGCTGTCCGGAACCCGCCTCTGCCGCTTCCTGATTTCTTATCTGTTGAATCTCCTGATCATCGGGAATCATTTTTTCATCAGGATCTTCATGTTCATCCAGGGCATACACAGCAGATGCATTCCAACGTCCAAGCGCTTTAAGAATGCTTTCACTCCACCGGGTGTCGGCTATCCGGCGATCGTGGCCCCTTCTCGCGCTTGTGCCCCTCACGTTGCACAGTTCCTTGTCAATACAAGGACATGTGGTGATCCACCCCATGTGCGACTTCTTAGCACCTTCTCCCTGCCACGATGAAACATGCTTCACACTCGGATGCTTTATCATGGTATCACACATCAGGGTGACCTCAGATGCACAGTCAGATGCAGTTTCAAACAAAACATGGTCATCTCTTCCAATCTGCAGGTCCGCGATTTGTTGCATGAACTGACACATGTCTCGCACTCTCTGCTCTCTTCTTCTGTCTTCGAACATCTTGTGACACCTTGACATCACTGTGGCTGCTCAACCCAACTCGAGGGCAGCATCCAGTCATCGCGACCAAGCGAGGAGCAGAATCATGTATCCACCGGCTTATATCTTCCCGACTCCTTGCGTCACAGAGGTCACTATTCAACTTTGATAGGCTCAACTGACCGCCAACCCCATCTGGAGAAAGATCTAGTGAATTGAGCCTGTTGGCCACATGTCTCGAGGATGTCGGGCCTCGTCTGGGAAAAATTTGGTGCTGCACTGGCCGTGGCTGCGACCAGGGCTGCCATGGCGACAAACACTCCAGCTACGATGGCCCGAGCGTTTCCCAACACCTCTTCGCAACACCCCTCTTGAGCTGCCTCCTACGTTGCTTACCCTCGGAAATCCGAAGCTCAATCTCACTTCGCGAAAGAGGTTGACGAGAAAATTCATCGTACCCCGGCGGGCGGGCATTACCATGCCCGGATGCTACTGCAGCGCAGCTCAGCCCACTCAGTCCTCGTCCGGATCCATGTCCTTCGTGGGAGGCTGCTTCTTGTCTCGGGGATACCTGCGACTCTTGTTTCGCACGGCGACAATCATGGCCATCTCCTCCTTGGTCAAATAGGTGTTGTACTTGGCCTCCTCCCCAGTGGCCACCAAGATCCATCGGACGAGGTTGCCGCCCTGCCTGGGTCCTCCGCACGCTTCTTCTGGATCGCCTCGCGGACCTCTTCTTCTTCTCGGCGAGCGTCCTCTCCTTGTTCTCCTGCTGGATCTCTTTCTGCACCTCGTGAGTTGGCCGTTGGCCTCCCTCCGTAGGTCAGGGGAAGCGTCGCCTTGCACATCGGGAAGCGTCGGCATTTGAGTCAGCCTGTTCGTGCGTACCATCATCGGTATGGCACACTCGGCGCACAATGGACCTCGACCCGCCGTCTCCAATTCCCGGTCCTGCTGCAAGTCCTTCGAGGCATCCTCGGCCCACACCTCGATCTCCAGCCACAGAGTCGACTTGGACCGGTCCCAATAAAGGTCGTTGTCCCGACCCAAGTCCGGTACCACCTGGTTCTGGTAGATCGTCTTGAGTGCCGCGCGATCGAGCTGCTTCCAGTTCGCTGGCAAAACTGTCGTATTCGCCTTCTTCGGTCGCACCTCCGCCCACAGCTCCTCCAAGCGATCGAGGGTGTGGCGACGAAGTTCCTCCTTCCCCAACTTCGACCTGGAGGCAATCGCCATCACATACTCCTCCTTGTTCTTTGGCGCAAGCATCGACATGTCGATGCCAGTCGGAAGACTGATCGTCACAGGCTGCACGTGCTGTCGAGCTTGTTTGCTCAAGTAGGTGCGGAGTTGAAGCGCAAGTCTGAATCTGTGACATGTCGTGATTGTTGTCATGCGGCTCTCGGTGGAACGACATGTCATCTACTGCATGCACCGCTGCACCCAAAGTCCTGGAAGTTCCTCCCTTGTGCCTTCGGGAAAATGTAGCTTTCGCAAAGCTTTCTTCACTTCTTCATCGGCTTGGGCAATGCTTCGGACGGTGTACATAGATAGACACCATCTCTCTCCACTCCAATCCTGGGTCGCATGCGGAACTTGGGGTCAAACACATTTGGAGTCTCTCGAGTCGAAACCAGTCCCGGGGGAATTCCTCCCGTGTCTGTCTCGCTTCCATGTAGATGACTCATCTCCCGACTGAGCAACCCATAATTGGCCTCCGTCGAAATCGCCGAAGCTCACGGCGATTGAAGGAAAGTCCTTGTCATTGTGACAATCCACCCGCACATCTGTATGAATGTTCTTGGCGAGGCTGAAAGATGACCAACATCCATGACTGACCGACTTCATGAAGCTATTGATATGCCGCACAACGTTGGGATAACGAAGCGTTCGCTTAGTGATTCCCAGATATGTACCATGAGCGCACAACGCAGCAACCCACGCTTCATTGATTGGTCCTCGTTCCCCGTTGATGTCACGATGTCTTGACCGCTGGGCGATGAGCATCAGGCATCCTGACCAAACCCAAACTGTACCGAAGTCACGTTCACGGTACAATCATGTACAATCTGCGTGCTTCATCTTCACATCGATCGACCTCTTCCCTAGTCACTCGTTCCTTGCCGCCCTCTGGAGTCTCTGGGGAGATCTTCTTCACCATCATGAGCTGATCATCAAGGACATCGTCTTCTAAGATAACTTCTTGATCAGTGTCAACCAAGGCTTGTGGTGGAGCCTCCAACCTCCTCCCGGACCGCTCCACGTTGATCTCGAACCCACAAAGACCCGTCTTGGTTCCCCTCAGGTGCACATTCGCATCTAGTTCGCGGAGGGTGATGTACTGTACTCCAAGTCCATGACCCTTCCCAAACCCTTGAGGGCACTCTTGCTCAGGAGAAGCGGAACATCCTGATCGACCACGCTAACACGGATCCATGCGATTCTTGAGGCACCTCGCACTACCAATGGTAAGATCACCGCGAACTCTGACATCACCCCTGGGCAGCCGCCGAACCTAAACGGACGTGCCTCGTGGACAACGAACACATCTTCTCCCCGAGCGCCAAGGTAACGGAGATGTCGCTGGATCCATTTCTTCCCTGCCACCGTCCTGGCACAGCATGTGTCGCTCAGAGCAAGACGATTACGGTCGGGGTTCTCCACCATTGCTATAAACATGACTCGTGTGCACCTCTTCAACCTGACCCTTCTTGCAAGAGGACTCCAAGTCATCGAGGTGGGACGTGGCGTGGTAGCTGGATGATGTAGGAAGCTCTAGGATATCCTCGTCGCTGTCACTAAGTTCTTCCCCTGCGACGGCCAACACAGTCTTCTCTTTGTTTCTGTCCTTGTCATTATTGGCCTTGCAAGCACTGCAAGGCATCCGCGACTTCACGTCTTTGATGCGGGCTTCTCTGGCTTGACTTGTCTCCGGCTTGGAAAAACCACGTGCGCGTTCTATCTCAGCCCGCTTACAGGCTGCTTGGGTGAGGAGTACCTCTAACTCCCCCTCGAGCTCTTGCGGGCCCACCTCATCCACCTCCTCCTCCTCACCGTCTTTCTGCTCAGCATGCTCCGTCGTGGCGTTGACCTGCCGCGGGTGGTTGCGAGGTTTCCACTGGCGGTTCAAGGATGGCCTCGAGGTAGATTGGTTGTTGTGGTCTTCCTCCTTCTTGACTTTCGGCACAATCGCCCTGAGTGATTTCCTCAAATTTGGGTAGTCGTACTCCCCGCCAGCTGCTGCTACAACTTGCTCTCTGAGGTCATTCGATAACCCTGATGATGTTTTCCAGAAACCAATAGGCGACATTCAAACCTTCAAGTTTGGCTCCCACTTCTTCAAGTCGCTTAAGTTGAGCACGGAACAGCATGTCAAACTCTACGACAAACTCCTGCCCGGGGCTCCTCTTGAAGTCCTTGTAGAACTCCGACAGGGTCGTGAAGGTACGCAGGTGCTCCAACGGCTCGGGCTCCTGCCACAGGTGAGCGAGTAATCGCCGCACACCCCCCCAGGGTGCTTGAGATCCTCGAGATCGAGGCTTTCGGTAGCCATCCAAGCTTGGCCACTCAACTTCTCCATCAGCTTCTGGGCCCTGTACGAAGCATCAATCCCCGTCGAACTCTCAACAGCTTGACCCTTCTGGCATAATCCCTCATCGGGGTCTTACCGTCAAACACCGGAACATGATCTTTTCCTGTCTTGGGACGATTCTTGGTAGAACCACTACCTGCATCGCCAGACTCTTTCGGGTCGTCTGTATGATCGAAGGTCTCGTCAGTAACGGTCGTACTGCAGTGATGCCCTCCGATTGCCTGCTTCCGCAGGCTCACCGCTCTCTGCATCCCGAGCTCCACCTCCGCCATTTCCCGGACAGGGCACTCGTTGATCTTGCTGCTGATCGCCTGGCCAGTTGGACTACCACCTAGTATTGCTAGTTTGAGGTCTCTCCCATTGGTCCTGCCACCAACTCTGGCTACCCCACGTGCTACTACTGCTGTTGCCATGCCAGGCCCATCCTTGCCATTGGCATCGGCCTTGCCACCGATCATCAAGACCCCGAGCATCAGAGTCAGCATCGCCGCCGCCCGCCGGTGCCGTAGCTGGGGCACCTGTTTGCTGTTGCATCCCTGCTCCGCCTGCCAATGCAAAAGGTGGCAAAAGAATACACGGCCTGCATGGCGCTTCCGCAGCGCGCCACTTGTTTTCGATGCATCACCGAGAGCCGCTATGCTGCGCACAGGTGGTTCACTTCTGAGCTCTCAATTAACTCATGGTCCTACCGCACACTGCAACTGGTCAGGCCCTCTGACAAACATTGACAGAAAGAATTAAAACGCGCGGGCTTAGCATGGTGAGCCCTATTGCCTGGACGCTTCTCAAACCTGAATGTTGAACAGCGCTTCGCGGATCACCCCCAATTCGGAAGAACAAGCCACTCTGGCATGTCGCCTAAGACAACTTCGTGGCCAACGGCATGCTGTAACACAGCGAGGAGAATTTGTTTGGGCTACGCAATGTGCAATCTCCGAACACGAAGATTCCGAAAGTGATATCGTCGCTTGCGCTTGTTATCGAAGTTTCTCTTCAGATTGACTGCTGAGCACTTGTCTGATTTCGTACACCTGAGGCCAACGACTGGTTGAGCTCATGGACATCGTAAGACTTGTTGCATTTTACCTGACTTGCGTTGCAGCATCACTTGCATTCCCCCGGAAAACCTGGTGCGGCCTCGTCAGTGGCGTTATTGCAATAAATAACCTGCCAGTGTTGGAATACTCTGACAGCAAGATCTAGAGCAGCAAGAATTTTGTACGGCATGTTGCGTTCAAGGGGTGACCAACCTCCTCTTTGTTGTCCCGGAAGTCTGCACACATTAGTGACCTGGGCATTTAGAATTTAGACAACATGCTGCTTCCTACCTTCTTGGACTCTTGTCCCGGCTGCATCCGGCCGCTACCAAGTGTAGAGAGTGCAAGCCGAAAAAAGGCAGTACGTCTTCCACCGGCCAAGTAGATTTACGGGACAAGAGGTGATGGCTTGCCTTAAGCAGTTCGCAAATTCTACAAATACCTAGCTGTAGCTCCCGACATGGTGCAGCCGCACTTCCTACACAGGTTCTAACTCATCCGTCGGCTGGCCGCTGGTTATAAGCACGGGCTGGACTGGTTTGACATCACTGAATATCACTGAACTGAAGAGCCAAGAATTTCGCTTAGAGTTGGCCTGTGCATTCCCGGGCAACTGCAGGCACGTGATTTCCTGAAGGGACACTGGCATCTTGTCTGTACAAGATGGCTCACAAAGCTGAAGTTGCTGTTCGAGGCTTTTCGGTTGTGGTCCTGCTAAGTCATGCTGGAAATAGACAAAACCTTGCCGTGCAACGACTCGATCCAGCACCCCTGCTTGGTTGAAAGCCCTGTCAGTGTGACTCAGGAGGTCATGCAGAATGAAGAAGCAAGCTCTCCGTGTCAGGACCGACGCAAAGAATTCGCGTCTCGTCGCAAAGGCACTGCTTCATGCCGGAATTGTTCCAACACAGGATTCGCCGAGATATCAGCAATTCCGCAGCAGGGAGCCCATGCAATCCTAGACTAACTGTTCGATCTGATACCTGCCAGCATTGTAGCAAATATCAGCAAAGTTATCGCCAGCAGAGACATCCTGCGCAGATCACGCTCCAGGTTCGACTTGGACCGGTCTCCGAATTTCAACTCAGTGTGACATGCTATTCGCTGAAGCTTGTCAAATTTTGCGAACCTTGAGGATTTCAGACGGGAACAGCTTGGCCGTTCACGCAGAACTGATCTCTTGAGGCCTGTGCAAACCAACGCCGAGGCGAAAATCCGAAGCAGATCCGACGGAACTCACGAGGGTCTCTGCTCCCTGTGGAGTCTTTTTCAGTGAATGCTTTGTGCGAGATCTTACGGTTTAATGCAGTGATAACTTGCTGGGCGTCCCTGTCTCGGGTATATATAGATTAATATCTCCCATTTCTGCACCGCCCACTCAGCCAGTGCGGTGCTGACGGCCTGGTCTCTTGCTTCATCGAGCTCATCGATTGCGCGGATGTCAGGGGCGCGCGCGTCTCGCGAGAGTTACAATGCTGGTGACGCCTTGAGTCAAGGCGGCGGAAGGTGATCCTCCTGACAGTCAGCTGCAGTCTGCTAGTCTGCGGTGATTCTCGAAACATGGGAATGGCAGAACTGCGACTTCCCGACTCAGGGGGCTCTTACAGCTTGGTATGTGCTTCCCCACTCCTCCAGCGGAAGCTCCATCGAGTTCAAGTCCGCCTGCACCGGAGACACGCAGGACGTTGCGGCACTTGCAAATGCGATGGAAACCATGCCATCACAGGAGCAAGTTGATTCAGACCAGAATGACTTGCCCCACGGTGTTGTGACTGTCAGAGCGACGAAGTTGAACCGACGAATCTTGGTGTCAAACGTGGTTGCCTAGCTGATCAGTTATGAAACCTTAGAGTTGCCGGTGCATTCAATTGTCTCTGGCGTGGGCTAATGCAATAACCATGAGACACCAGGCTACAAGTCTCGTTTGAGCATAAATCAAAACAGGTAAGAATATCGTGGAACGGCAAGACTCTTTGAGCCAGTCGGATCCCGAGACAGAAATGTAGTAAATGAGGTGAGCATTTTTCCAAAGCCGTCTTGGGAGGCCTTTGTCGCCAGAAGTTCGGCGTTCAGCTCGCCACGCACGCCCTGCAGGATACGATCTGAATGTCGGCGGCGCTCCTCGAAGTGACATCTTCACCCTCTTCCACAACCGACCAAAGTCTAATCTGCTATCAGCATCGGCCTTTGCACTGCGCTTTTCAGACTCACAAGCTGCTTTCACGGACCCGCATGGCAAAACCAGCGATGTGCAGGTATCGTGCAATTGCTGCTCCTCCATCGAACGTCCAGAGAAGCCTCAGGTGCAGCCAGCGCCCAGCTCCCTTACTGCACTCTGGAGCCTTGAGTGTAGAAGTCGCAACAGTTCATGTATGCCCATGCTCTTCGCCGGGAAGATGCGGCAATTGCAGAATGCTCAACTCCAGTTCGCATCAGGTTGGGCTCCCACTGAGCTGCAAGATGCATCTCGCGACAGATATGTAGACTAGTCAGTCAAGGGAGCAAGTAGGCCCGGGGGGGGAGGGGGGGTGGGGGAATCCGTAACAGCATAGAAACATGATGTTCACACTACTTTGTAAAGGCCAGCCGAGAGGCCGAACATGACCTGGCTGCCGTTGTCCGGATTGCCGGTTACGCGCTGGTCGTAGTATGGCCCAAGCACCATCTGCAGTCGGCAGTTTGCTCTCAGGGGCAGAGGTTTGAGACTGCAGTCAGCAAGTTTCGACGGTCCAACTTCTGAGCGACCGGCAGGAACACTCATAATCTTGCGGATGTGTATGTGGAAGGGCTCTCCAGTCGGACTGAAGGCGAAGCGTGACCTTCTGTGCCATAGCTCGCAGTGTCCAACCAGAAAAAGGCAACTTCATGGCAAGCGACTCGCCATCCCACTGGAAGAAGACGCCGGTGCCTTTAGCACCGGAATACGTCAGGGCCATCCCTTCCTGACATAGTGGCCACGAGCTTCTAATATCTCCTAGCCTTCTCCTGTGAAACTCCATCTGACATCGATGAGAGGGAGGGCCGATGGCAGCCGACAAGACAAGCAGCCTGGCCTCGCACTTATCTGTTTGGAACACCAGGCCAGGATTCTTAAGCGCCTCGTCCAGCATAGTCGCTGCAGGCTTATGTTAAGCAAAACAAGCACTGAGCAAGAGTCACACATGAGGTGCTGCATCTCCGTACAACACGATGTGCCGAGCTGTGCAACAAGGTGTTGTCACTGAACTGTCCGCTGGTAACATCTGAAAGTCCTTGTTGACACCAGCTAGCACTAGACCATAAGGCAGCAGCACTGAGGAATTTGACGCGATACCTCAGGTAGCTGCTGCAGACTGTGCTGCCGCAACTCTGTGCAATGTCGTCGTCAGTCTGGGTGCCTCGATGCGGCTGGAGAGTCGCTGAGGCGGCCACATATCCATCAATCCATCATTGAAGTGAGCCGGATCTCGCGTGGAGCACAATCGGGCAGGAAGTGGAGCTCGTTCCGCACCGTGGAAGATGCCTGGGTCTGAGTGTAGATTTGAATGAGCAGGACATCGCACCGCTGCCATTGTGTTCTTAGGAAAGGTGCCGGCTTGCCAGTTGATGTTCAAAAAACCAACTTCACGGTAGCGCGCACCACCCGAACCGTCTTCACTCCTGGGTGGGAAGTACCTCTCGTTGCCGCAAAAAATTTCAACCTGGACCGAGGCGACGCTAGAATGCTCAAGCTTCCATGCAGCAAGCGACGCCAGCAAAATGGGAACTGGCCTTCTCTAGCCCGACATTCAACTGTGGGGGTATGCTCTCTGCAAGGATGCCGCATCCTTGCCTGCAGGTTAAAGTTCCACATCAACGCAAATGCAAGTGTGACAGTCGCATCATACCGCATCCATTTGCAGGGGTGCAGGCCCCCTAGCCTGATGTACTCCAACTTGTTTCGAATCGGGCTCTTTCTTCGATTCATCTGAAATCGGGCTGTCATGTAAGCGCCTTGGCAGGGCTTGGTCAGCGTCATGCCCCAAAGCCAGCTTCACTTGTGAAGCTGAGGCCGCAGCCGAAGCCGGCGGAGAAATACAGGCCTCTAGCATGTGAATATGCACGGCCGTGAATGCATCCAGTACAGTTGTCGGACCACGTTTCTGGATGACTGTGCGTCCGCATGTTAGCAGCCTTGCGTTGCTTTCGAATGCGGTCAGGAGGCAGACGAAGAGTGGCACCGGAAGTCCAGCCTGGCACGCAGAGCTTCGAGCTCAAACACTCGCATGAAACGCTGCCCTTCCCGACATGTTGTGCTCGGACTAAGAACTGCCGGCATCCATCGCAGACCAGGGGCCTCCTTCATTACAAGGTGCTTCTTGCCGTCGATGTGAACCTTTACATGCGGTGCGACAATGCTTGTGGGCCTGGGAACGCTGCCAGCAACAAGTCTGTGGGAAGTCCCGGCAACGAAAATACGACATGAACCAGCCTTCGGATCCATTCCGCGATGACCTGTGCACTGTAGAGGCTGTGTTCGCCAGGCGAACACAGCAGAGGTTGGGAACTGTCGGCGGTAGTGGAACTTCAAGCGCCGCTGTCGGCATCACATCTACTTCTGGACAGGAACGGACCTCCGAGCTCCGAAATCTTGAAGTCGCAAGAGTCTTTGCCCGTCTCTGGCACCTTTGGCTGGCAAAATCGCTTCTGGACAACCTACCTCGGCACATCACGACACGTCAGGGACGCGATTTCTCTAGGCCGATCACAAATCCGAAGATGTCGAAATTGGCGATTGCACTTTCAGGACCTTCGGAAACAGCTTGTGGAGCTAACATATGGAACACAGGGCCAGGTGAACTCTGAGTGCAGCTGCTAATGGCAGCTTCGATCCACGAAAGAAGAGCATCCTTTGCATGTCTCCTGTGTACTTGTTCATTGCGCTGAACCAGGTCCAACTTGATCCAACTTGTAAGGATTCTCTACTTCGTTCATGAAGGATCCCACCCCGTCCGATTGTTTGGTGTTTGTCTCCAGGGATAACTGCTGTGCCATCTAACAGTAACAAACATGTGACCAACCGATCATCAAGGCCGTCTATACGATTCTATGCGGCATATCTTGTATTGGACTACCTGGTGCTACCCAACTCCAACATCTATCTTCTCCCGCTAAAATAACTAATCTTCATATCGTAAAATCGGACGCTCCTCCAGTCCAAATGGAAGCGTGACTCTCGGTCTCCAGGGTATTTCCGTCCCCAGCCCAAGGTACGGCCGAAGTCGTTCGTCGTTCCTTGCAGGTGACAGGCGCCCGAAAAGGTGATGTCTGAGTCAGGCTACCTGGGAAACCGTCGGACAGGCAATAGATTGTATTCAATGAGTATTGCAACTGCACAAACGCCGGCCCGGCCTAAAGGCATCTGCGCAAGGGCTGGAAAAGACTCGGCCATCTCGTCATCTGTCCAAATGAAACCGTTCCCGGTGTCGGCAAGGCCCTGACGGTCGAGAAAGAGGCTATGCTAGACCAAACAAGTCTCTCCACAAGTGATCATTGACCTCATCCTCGCGCGAGCCGTCCGCCCGAAGCGCCGCAAAGAGAATGAACAGCGTAAACGAGGCTGTCCCATCTCCACCACCTTACAGGACAAGCGTGGCAATCTCTAAATCCACTGACAGTTCGGGAATCTCCTTGCATGTGGCAAGAGTCTGCACTGACATCGAGAAACCAGAATCTTCCAAACAGGGAGATGGGATTGTTGGTAGCTTGTCAGAAAGGGGGCTCTTTGCGGCCAATGCATTGACCAAGTTCTTACTCATCCGAATCTTGATAGGCTCGCTGCCGGAGGGCCTGAGATGATTCTGGGTCGCGTCCCCATTGCTTTGGCCTCCGTCTTTGCCTTGCAGAGCTCTTGTCGTAGAACGTCAAGCAATCCTCCTCGGCGCTGATCCCGGACCACATCGATGATGTTGAAAAAACGGTCCTTCCACTTTGCATCCCCCTCCGATGCATCCCCAACCCCCGGACAGCAGATCCGTTGCACAACGTACTAGTCGAACAAAGCGTGCCACATAAATTGCAAGACGATGCAAAACCTTGCGAGAGAAGCTCGGAGTGCAAAAGAAACAGCAGCTGCGCCGCATGACGAGTGCTCACTCACAGGTCTTAGCTCCTGGTAGTAGGGAGTCAGGCGCGCAAGCTCCAGGATGTCGGCTCCCGCCATGGCACCTCGCCGATGCTGTGCCGTGGGTCATGCAGCCATATGCCATGCCCAGACTGGCCGCCCAGACATGCAAACTCTGCAAAGTGCTTTGCCTCTTTCTCCTCCCCCCAACACCGGCGCCTGCAAAAGGGTTGATAAGTGCCTAAGCTGCGCAAGGCGGGCAAATTCCCTCCACTTGCACAGGAAACGAGATCTCAGCTGGTCTAGAGTCCAAACTCAACCTTCTCACTTCGATGCCGCGTCACTAGCGTTGGTATGTGCTGGTCCGGAAGAAACGGGGGCAGACGGGTGTCCAGGCCGTATCGATTGGATGGCAAATTTGCCTGGAAGTAGTCGGAGTGGAAAGGTGACTACGAGTACCAACAGCAACCTTTGGCATTCTCAAACTCAGAGCTCTCCCCGCATTCGCACCTCAGTGCTCTGCAGTCGGCTACTCTCTTTTGCGGCCTAACGCGATAGCCATCCCCTGAAGGCCTCAGGAATCCTTAAGAACTACTCTGAATTTCCCTGGTGCGGCCCAAGTCGGATTCACATCGCTGCATATCAGAATTGACGACCCGTCGAGGCGGCCCATGCCCATCCCACTCATATTTTCGAAGCATTCACCGGCTTGCTTTGGAATGAGCACTACCCAAAACAGATTCACTCAAGCTTTGTGTTGCTCCCGGTCATGCTAGATGACAGTCTCAGGCTGATAGTCTCAGGCTTCGATGCCTACGTGTGCATAAAGGATAAAGGCTTTCCTGTCTTTTCCACAAAACGGACCCAGAAAACTCAACTATGCCAAGAGGTATTGAAGTCCGTGAACCCTTAAAACCCTGCTGCAAGCACGCCAGTGCCCTCATGGTGAACAGAGTTCGCACTTCAAATTCCAGAATGCCGCACTTGGCAGTTGGCAGTGAAGTGGTGGAACCCCTTTACATGTTTGGCCAGGCCGCACACACGATTTTCGGCGCGGGCGCCCGCAGTTGGGCGCGAGTCTGCGCCAACTGTTCCTCCAGTTCCCGATGCCTTGCAAAATAAACAGAAGACTGACATGAATCAGCTGTGTCAGCCTCCAGGTGAAAGTGCGAGCTCTAAAGTGAACAGCACTTCCCAAGCAAATAGCTCCTGCGAAACAGTAGAACCAACCCCCTGTATGGCTGGGTAGTGCGGCTTCGATGCCGGGCTGTTCTTTCTAAGACCTCTCTCTTCTCGGTCCAGTGCTCCCGAAACTGGCGGAGAACCTTGGTCGAGACTGTTACGAGATCGAGCTAGGTGGCTTGGAACCACTGCTGAATCGGGCAGCCTGCTTTTCTGCATCTGTGGGAAGGCGAGATTCCACGGAGTTTTTGGGCCCATCATTTTCGACCTCACGTCGCTAGGTTGCGCAAATTGCGAGCAGCTGTATGACCTTTTCTGCCAAGATTCGGTCTTCGTTTCCAAAATCTTGAAGTCCTGAAGTCAAACAGGGGTGGGAAGCATCCCACCACGAATCCATCCCGAACCCCGCAGCGGCTTAAGGCCTGCAGTCACAGCACAGAGAAAAGAACGAACCCACCTGTGGTGGCATGAGACCGCCGCAACAACATGCGAGTCTGTATGCCAAAGCCGGTGCGGTGCAACATCAGACTTGCACGAAACCATCGAAACCATGGACACCTGATTGGCACGAGAACACTCGCACAAGCGACGTAGAAGCATGGGGACTTGCCGCCGCGTGCAAGTGCTTTGTGCGTCGCACTTCCGATGTCTCGGGACTGACCAGCCCGAAGCAGTTCTTCGTCTCCGTGCCCTACCCAAATGCCGTCAAATTCTCACTCCTGTAATTATGTGTGCGCCGGCAGAGCTGAAACAAGTAGGCAGAGTGACCAGAACTGCCGAACATGAGGCCAGTGATTGAACCAGGCACAGGCATCGTCAATGAAACCCCCGGCGAATGGTCTCAAGCTGAGATGTTTCGTATTCTGTGCCTAAAACAGAAACAGGTTTGAGTTGACAACACTGAAGCCAGTCTTCTCACAGACAGGGCGTTGATGCACTGTGTTGACGTAGCTGGTCGATAATCGAGTGCATAAGACGGCGAAGGATCATGTTGGTGACGCTGATAATGATGAGTGTGCTCGCCGGAACAAGAGAAAGCAAACACAACGGCCACAAACAGCGGATGCATCTTCTGATCTTTTGGAACTTGCTCATCAGCCCTGTGGCTCTGTGAAACCAGAATCGTGAATCGATCATTGAACTGGCTGGTTGCTTTTTGGGGCCTGTAGCCATGACAGTCGACCGCGCGTGCTCACAATTACTTATTCTTAGACTGCAATGCCCGGCATGCCCCAATGTAAGGGCGGCTCGGCGAAACTGTCGGGCTGCGTGGCCTGCAGGAGTCAACACAAAAGTTTTCATAGGCAACCCATAGCCAGCAAAAGCCCCAGCAGAAGCCGCCACCCGGGAGAACTGAACAGACTCTGGATGAAACAGCTGCAATCGCAGTATCAATCGAGCAGACCGCACGCCTTGTATCTCAGACTCGCCCTGAGATCCACATTCGCGTGACATTATCTCACTGGGGAACTTGAAGGACGCAAGGATTCACACGTTCTGATGCTGGGCTAAAGCTGCGCTTTGAGTTCTCAGTCGCAACCAGGAAGCTCCACAGGTTTTGCCTCACCATCTCTTTTCACTGTCAACGGGTCTGACCTTGGACTCGAAACTTCCGGGACGCTGCAACATTCCGCAACAGGTTGTGACTCTCTGAGCGGAGGGACAGTAGCATCGGCAGCGCCGAAGCGGTGCCTGAGCAGGGCACTCCCAGCATCTCTCACTGGTCGAAGCTATAGAATGTCCGTGGGCTCTTGCATCGACTGCGGATGGTGGAGGATTGAAGGCGAAAGGCTAGTAACAACTTCGGGAAGCGCTCAGTCTGTGTCTGCATGTGTTTGCACCATCCCTGCATCACAGAAATTTCCAGCCAACCGAGACGCTTCTGTGATTGCACTGCAAACGTACCTTCATGATGGTGCATCTGGGGAGAGCTGCTCCGGCTGATTCCATGGGTTAAGCTGTCTGTTTGCCGCCTTGAGTAAGATCGCAAGAAGAACAAAGAAAGAGACAAAAAGACACAGCTTGCATGCATTTTTACAGTGAAGCCACAACACCGGCGACATCCTAGACCAAGACGATCTACATCAAGTGTGTTGTCAGTAAAGGTTTCCCTTTGGGCACCAGTTGAGTAGAGGGTTGCCTCCACCACCCTGACTTCAGATTGACTCAACCGAAGCTCTTGACTTCATTGACTGTCGAGCGACGGGACGTCTGACTTTCAGGAAAGGCAAAAGGACTTGTTCGAATGATTTCACACATGAAGTTGAAAGTCGACCCCACCTGACTTCAATTGACAACCGGCAGAGTTTTGGCTCACAGGCCTTCCTCCTACATGTCCGTCACGCAACTCATGTACATGTCAATCTAGTTAATCTAGTTGTTGTTTTTGGACAGCACGAATGCAGCTCATGCACATGCCAGAAAACCAAGCAAGTTCTTTCCTTCCCCGTCGTTTCAGAAGGTGTGTGTGTGTGTGGGTGCGATTGAACCGTTTCTTTAGAGCACGGGGGTACGGCTCTCTGATGCTACCGTGCCGTGCATCAGGGAGGGAAGTCAAGCCTGATCAGCTCAGTGTGCCTGCGCAAAGGCCAGCCCAAAACACCCCAATATGATAGAAACATTGGCCTTCCGAGATTGTGTATGGCGCGCCATCCCTGATTCTATCGGCTAAGAAAAACAGATGGCATGGACACAGATTGCAGGGGGCCGGAGTGCATCACAGAAGTTTCCAGTCAACCAAGATGCTTCTGTAATTGCAATGCAAGCGCTTGATGGTGCATCTGGGGAGAGTTGCTCCAGCTGATGCATTGTCTGTTTGCATGGTTGCCGCAGTTTGAGCCTTGAATCCTTTGAAGATCTCAGGAGGAAAGAAGAGACAAAAACACAGATTACAAGAACCCTTACCATTAAGCCACAATGCCGGCGGCATCCTAGACCAAGATGGTCTACCTCAAGCGTGTGTGGGTGTGTGTGAGTGTGCATCTATGTCTTCAAAATTGTCAAAACCAGACCTGTCTTACTCCATGTTCGTGGGCTCGCAGAATAATTTGAAATGGAGCGTAGAGTCCCGCAAATGTCCTAGCTTTCATGCTATTAACATCAAGACTGGGAAAGGAACACTCCGCTCTGAGCTTGCTTTCCCCGCGTGCAGTCTCAAGGATCATGAAAGTGCAACGAGCGCACAATACCAGCAACCGGTGTCTGAACGCCTTCCTCGCCGGTGCCCGCTGAGTCCTCTGCCATGGCGTGGCCATCGAACCCATGTATGCTGGAGCCCGAAGCACTCAAACAACGTCAGCCGACACGGAAGCAAAAGGCGCAGTGCGGGATTCAGAAACGAGTCCTTCCCTCTGCTAGTTACATTCCGGGCACCCAGCTCGCAGCAAGCCTCAGGGCCTGTGGCTGGGGTAGTCTCGGCACTGGGCCGTCGCGCAAAGCCTGTCATCGAAACCAGAAGAATCCAGAGGCATGAACCGCACAAGTACAGTCACCGCCAGGTTGTGCTTCGGCTCTGCCCACTTCGGACGTTTCGACCCTTGCATGCCCTTTCACCATGCAGGCATCACCTGCTCGGCACTGAAACTCCTTGCAGCTCGGCTCGCAGCAAACTGAGTCGGAGGAGGACACCTCGAGGGCCAACGGTTACGCCGAATGAAAAATGAACGAGCAGTCTTTAGCGTGTGCCGAAAGCTCTCTCGCGGCCAGCAAAGCCCATGCGGTCATAATAGGGACTCCGGGAACGGTGAGTCTCTGATAGAACAGCTTCGCCTATTGCGCTGTTCCCATGCTCATCAGTGAGTCATCAGTGCTACTCCGGTCTCTGCGGCTACGACTTCAACCCGCATCCAAGTCGCCTGCCTCCCGCAACTTTCCCTTGTCGGTGCCTCAAGTCCACATCGCAAGGTATTGCAAATCCGCCTTCTGGTGATTCGAATCATGTTGCCGGCCAGGCTGCTGTTGAACCAGCCTGCTCCACACTTGTGTAGAGCACATGTCGGAAGGCAGCAATCCTCGTTCGTCAAGCCCGCAGACACAAAGTTTGCCTCAGTCCCACTTCCGAGCCCCTCTGCTGCACGTTTCTTAGCTGGTCTTGTTTTGTGGTATTTTGTGGTCAACATTCGTCACCTCATGTAACTTTCGCTTGTCTGTGCATGCGATGCACTTAGGCAATGCCTTTTTTTCGCATGAATGGGCTGGTCGATGTCGAATTTGATCTGCTGGGCGGTCAGCTAGCTAGTGGGCATTGAGCGTACCTTTTACAGCCAACAAAAGATCGTCTAGCGAGTCAGTTGCGCCTCGAAGTGGGGGGCGGGGGGGGGGGGGGACCCACCCACCCCTGACATTGTGCAATGTTGCTCCTCCGCCCCTCCCCCTTCAACTATTGTGAAAGGACCAGATATGGTCTTGCGCGCAATTTTGATCCAGTTCGCTACTCACCTAGCTAATCGAATGGTAAACGGTAAACGACAACTCCCAAAAGCTCCACAGAGCTAGCTTTCGTGACCTCGTGCGTCATCAAGTCACAAAGGTCGCGTTCAGAAGTGTAGCTGCAGTTCCGTTGGCATCCTGTGGCGTACATGTTCTTCAACAATCTTCGATGAAGAGTACGTTGGTGAGCCACCGTTAGGAAGAGGGCTTTCCTGAAACGTGGGTTTGTGCTTTCTCTGCTTTGTGCAATTGAACAACACATCTTTTGCTGCTGTTGAAGGGATAAGGCTAAACTGGAGGTATGCACGCATTTGACCGGATGCGTTGAGGCAACTCGGGGCTTGACCACAGCAGGATTCGACGTCCAACCTGGAGCTTCCAAGAATTTTTGCGGAGCGCATGGCCTACAGCATCGCAGTGTCGGACTGAGTGCAGCTGGAATGCCCTCTGTGCAGCTGTAGGCCGCACATGTTGGAATGCAGCAGCTGGAACCAACTGGAACCTGTGACTGTTGAAATGTGGTGAAACTGACGAAGGCAAGGCACCATGAATTTGCTCACAGCTAGAACTTGGGCATCTGTCCACGCAGAGCTGATTTGTTCCATAGCACGCCTTTGAAACCAGGTAGTCCAGGTACGTCGGATCGTGATGGTGCCTAGCCTTGCAAGTAACACCTGAGCAATCTTCAATCCAAGCACAGACTCTCGCGGCGTTCGTACTAAACACACCTACACCCGACAGTGTATAAGCGTGCAGTTGTGTTGTGCAGTAGTGCTGCTTTGCTGTGATCCAACGACCAATTATGCCTGGGCCTACACTATCTTGTGCTCGGCACTGCAGTGTCTCCACCATGCAACGTCGGCACAGCAAAGTCTCGCCAGTGATAAGCAGTCCAGTTGCTAGAGCAGGTCGGCTCGCAACACTTGTCTTTGAAGTTCTTGTCCGTCACGACCTTGTTCTCAAGGCCGACAACAAAAGCCTTCGACCTCCCTCGAATTTAAAAGTGTGCTAGCATCGGGGGACAACCTTTCTAAATTTCGTGATGCACGGACGGCACCTCACTTCATGGTCAGTATCAACCCGCAATCCCTGAACACCACGAGGTCGCGACGGTGGCCATTTTCACCTTGTCCGACACGTCAACGCCTTGGGCGATCTCAGCTGTTGAAACTATCGGCATGTGACAAGCAATACAAGCACGGATGACCATCTGCAAACAAAGCAAAAAGACGGCGATTGCTTCAAGTCTCCGCTTTTCTCTCCACATTCATCCTTAGGTTGCCGATGCAAGCAGAACTAGCAGGGTTACCAGGGTATTATGCGCTCATGCATGTGGCGGGGCTTGCATCTCCACCTTCAGCCTTAAAGGAATGTCAACACAGGGAGGGTCCGTCCGTGCATCCAGTAGCCATCAACTCGGACAAGGTGCACCCTAAGACAGTCGGTCGGGTTGCACACAAGGACACTTTGACTTCCCAGTTGTTGTAGTTTGGAAGCGCATGCACCCGCGCCCAACCACCCCCATCACCACCGCCATCACATCAACAACAAAGTACATGAATAGAGGGGCTGCATGTGTTAGTTGACCAGTCGATAGGTTGACTTTAAGAATTCCGAGATAGTAGCCACAGGCAGCCTGAATCCGAACAAGGGGGCTTCAGAAATACTGCAAGTGATCAAGGGCCCAGCAATGTAATTGCAGCTGACTGACTGGCATGAATGTGGCAACCCTGCAGGTCAGCGGCAGTCTAGAGTCTAAATTCAACTATCATTTTGATGTTGCTCTTTACTATTTCGTCTGCTTCGGCGCAAGCTCAAGGGGTCGGAATAGTGTACTCCCCGCGCTGAGGTAAAATCAAGAAGCGGCCACTGCCAGACCGAGAAAGAGGAGCAATTCTACATTCTACAGCTTTGTTATTCTTCTTCCAAAGTTCGGATCGCTCAATGCCCAAACTTATCAACAGCACTGACTCTGCAATGCCTGCCAAGACATAGTCTGCACCAAGGCAGAGGCATCTCTGCGGTCAGGGATCCACATAAAACCCGCAAGTCTTCTCGCAGCAGAAGTCCCTCGCATTCGTTGCAGGCTGCGGTGCGTCCTGCGCGCCCAGACTGTTGACGAAGGAAGCAGACTCGTAAGTGTCTGGGATTCTGAGGCAATGACATGTCGATCTGCCACATATTGGAAGCCCTTGGACTTGGCGCAAACGAAGGCCGCACAGGACTCAGTCACAGAATGATCATCGGCAGGACTCTGCTGAGAAGCTACGCCACAGGGTCGCCGCATCAGTCTGAGCTTCTCGCTGGAGTGCAGCACTCCTCGTCCGAGCTCCCTGCCTAGCCCACAGCGATGCACAGCGAATGATGCGCATGGAGCATGTGCCCAAACGGGCCTGAACAAAAGAACGCGGGGGTGATAGGTGCCTGGTTCAACTTGGAGGCATTCGTCGCCCAGCTGCCAAAACAAGTGTGCTGCGAGCACTTCGGTACACAGCACTCCTGCGGGCGGAAAGGACATATACTGCCTGTACTGTATACAAGCGCAGAAGCTCTATGCCCGTATGTTCTGCTGGGCATGCATGTGTATCTTTGGCGCGTCAAAAAAGGCAACGCGGGAGGTGGGCATGTATATGCTCATATCAGCAATGTCTTCGCGTTACAAATGGTGCTTAGCAACACCAGGCACAATAGTGCGATTTATTGACAACAGGGCTAATGGTAACTTCAATAAAGTTCTGGAACTCTTGACGTCGAAAGGGTCGAGATTTCTCTTTGAGAGTTGGAAATGCTGGAGTTTCGGTAAAGTTGATGCCCACACAGTCTGAAAAAGCTGGTCCTCTGCAGACGCACCGAGCTTGTCTTTCTTTTCATCCGGTACTGTGTGGGTGGCATTACACTGGACTGTCCTGAGATGGCGGCAGCAAAGCAGCATCGTCTCGCACAACAAAAAGCAGCAATGGTAGCTGTATCTCATGACAGACCTGTGAATGCATACTTGATGCGAGACCTGACTCCTCAACCCAAACACAAGATGCGGGTGGGATTCGAGCAAAGTCTATCGCAACACTCTCTGTCATTGGATGCCACATTGTCGATGTAATCAGGATTGGCCTTTCTGAAGCATGCGGGACTCGGGCGAAGTGTAACGCAACCGGCTAGCCGGCTTAGTCCGCGCTCGTGAGCCCTGCTTGGCAGGGCGCTGTGGATCAAGACAGAGCAGAACCAGGCCACACATGCGACTTAGACAAACTGCTGTCCCCGTTGTCCCCTTGATGTTTGTTGCCCACACTGCAAAGCACAAGGCATGTAGTTGAGACCTTCAACAAAGCAGACATGCGGGTGGCAACGTGACTTCCCGCGGCCAGCATCAGCAAGCCTTGTAGCCGGAAGTACAATCCCATCTCCTGCAGGTGGGGCGGCCTCAGCACCAACAAACACGTAGGCCAAGAGCTTCTTTGATGCACGTACCCTCCCAATCCAGGATATGCTTTGCCATGCTTGCATGCCGGCCATCAAGCCAAGCAGCAGCAGTCCTGATTTCAGGAAACATAATTAGAATTTGAGGATGTTTATTGTATTTTGCAGGGGATTTGCCAAAAAACTAAGCCTCAGTAGAGAAGAGGCTTGAAAAGTTCATACAGTTAGTCGGGATTATCGATTTATGTTGTTGGGTATACAGTATTTATCAGTAATTAGAATTTTGGGATTCTTGTTGATTTTTGTATGGGATTTGTCTATAGTTCGAAGACGCTCCGGATTTTAAGGATAGTTTACAAAAACTCCAAACTCCGAAGGACTCAAATCCCTGTTGTTGAACATCTTCAATCACCGGAGCCTGCAAGAGGCTCTACAATAAGTAAGGCTGCTACGAATTACCTGCGGCGGGAGGCAGTTATGTTCGAGCTTGTCCAGTTGATAAAACTGAGCATGATGACGAGACAACTCTTGAGACCCTCATCGTTCAAGTACAAATCACCTGTTCAAGCAGTCCTGATTGTTGCTGCCCTTCAGATTCTCGAAGTCTGGCCTTTGTCTGCTCACAAGCGGTCTGCTATATTCTTCTAGTCCAACAGTCCAATGCCAGTGCTGGCAGACGAGCCGCTTTGGGGCCCATCCATCCTTCAAATAGCATGGATGCGTGCTACCTGAGAGTTTCAGGCGCTTCCAAGGCATTCCAAAGACAACTCCTCGCTGCGACTTTCTTCTGACTTGATTCTCGAGCTGACTTTCAGCTTGTTTTGATCGCTGTAGGGCTGAATTCGTCTGCACATCCCTGGGCTGATCCATTGGCCGAGTGCAAGCTTGTGCACTCCTGTCGTTGGCATTTGCAATCGGAAGTGCGACAGTCTGGATGGATTCCTCACTGTGCCAGTGCTCAATGACTCCAGGATACTTTGCACTGCGCGTGAGTGTCTAGTGCACAAAGGCTGTCGCTCGTCGCAGCTTTGCAGACCCGGCCCAAGCATCGGCACTGGTGCAAGTGGATGTCGAATGCTTCTGCTGTTGCACCGCAGTATACCGCAGTCTCCTTCGGATATTTCCTAGCTACAATGCCGGACATCGGTGCCAACAGGGAAATGTGCCAACGTCCACGTACACTTCATGCTGCCGGGGAGAGGAATGCTGCACCGATTAGGGAATGCAGGATTGTGGAGTCCACAGCTATCCCGTGGCCCGTGGCAAGAGGATGGTGGATAATGTGGCAAAGTCCTCTGGCAATGGTTCCCACGCAGCTATCCCGCAACAGGTACAAGTAAGACAGGTAAGACAAGCAGGGAAAGAGAAGCGTGCAGGGAGACTTTGTTGATCAAGCATGCAAGCAAAACAGCCGCCCAATACCCCCCCCAAGTACATACACACACACACACACATCCCACGGAACACAAGAAGAGCAGTAAGTTGATTGAATTTGCGCTTCCCTGGCACTCTGCTCCAAATGTATCGAAGGCGCAGCAGATACTGCAACCAACTGTAATCCCCTGGTGCACATCTGGAGCTGCGGGCATACACTGTCGTGACACTCGCATGAAGTATGAGGCCTCAGAGTCTGCTAGGTTGACCACATCCAGACCGGGCTTGAAATCACCCGTTGGTCAGCTCACTAAGCAAGCACTGCGTTCAGGGCCGCAGAGGCAGTTGTGTGAGAATGAAGGGCACAGCTGCAAGACCCGCATACAGGTGGGGTACACACGAGCTTGCAAATCGACAGAATTACACTCCGGAATCGTTTGCACGACCAGCATGCAGCCAGGACACAGCTCTCTTCATTTCGGAGGCTTTGGCCCTGCCACAGAGAACCCCATCCTGACTCTTAAAGGCTCCATGAGATCGGGCGCTGGCAACCGGCCCGCTGGCCTCATCATGGCGCAGCTTCCATGCCTCTCATCAGAGATCGGCTGCAGGGCTTGTTTCGTGCTCACAGTCGGCATGCGAGTCACAGACATCGCAGGCAGTCGTCGAAAAGAGGGCCCGAGGCCGAGAACTTGTTGGTTGCCGAACCAGGAACAAGCAAGGCTTCTTCTTACATTTCTTACATGGAGAGATGTAGAGAACTGCAAGCATGCGACATCATGGGACAGATGGGCACACAGCTATTTCAACCAGCGAAACAATGGTTGCATGGCTGCTGGCAAGTTCTGTTCGTCTGCAGTTCAGATGCCTAGAAAGAGGGCCTCTGGTCTACACAGCAGCAGCGCTGCAATGCTGAGGACCTGCCAACGGCAGAGAGCTCGACACCTGCAGATCGCCTCATGAAATGCTGACAGAAGCAGCAGGGCCTGCTTCATTGACACTTTGTCACTAACCGATGCCCGGGCCCCATCTAGAGTCGGGGCCCTCCTTCGACACCACTTGAGCCAAAGTCAATTACCCGATGTGAACTGCGGCGCACACAGTGCAAACAAAGGAAGCAACGTGAACGTGGGTGGCTGACATAGATCCGGTCGTAGCGCATGCCGAGGTTGACATCGAGCCTGGAATGCACTTAGTAAAACATAGCGACGTGAACAGAGCTTAGTTATCAATTCCGAGGACCAAGGGCAAAGCGCGGAACGCTGCTAGAACATTGCAGAGGCTGCTGCTGGTACACGTTTCCTACATTGAACTCGATGTGGTACTTGCCCAAGGAAGCACAGCGTTCCTGAATAAGGCAACGTGTGCGCATATGCTCAAAAATATGTGTTGCCTGCGTTGGCCTGTGCATGGACCACATTCTCCGGCCAAAGCTCCAAACCATCGTTCACGCCGCACCTTGCATCATCTTGCATCTGCGCAAAGTCTGTTTGATTTGCAGTTGACTAAAGAGCTCTGCTCTTGCAGAGGCCTTTCGGGCACCCGAGCACAGTGCCTCAATCCCTGCCATGTTTGATCCGCAAGCTACATCGAGGCTGTACTGCGCTGACCTCGCCCGATGCCCTGTTGCCACCTTGCTTGCGAGAAAACACGTCGTGCAGACGTTGGCTGCATCCTGCAGCGATCCCTCTGTGTATGCAGACGCGCTGTTCAGGGAAAGGCTTCAACCTTGTTAGAAGGAGCTGAGCTGAGGCTGTGAACTGGGCGATCTCTTCCCCTGCAATGCCTGGAAGTTTCGGTAAAAGAGACTCAACCTTGGATCTCGACAATGACACCCTCTCGCGACCCGTGACCATCTCGACCACAGCACCCTCCCTGGAACCACTCTCCAAGCCACCCTGTCGACCAAGTCAGGATTTCAATTGCTGGTTCTCAGACCACGCAAAGTATATACCCAAAGACAAAACATCAGTACTGAGCAGCGACGGTGCAACGGCGCATCTTTCCGACAGCATAGCTCAGAAACGGCCTGACTGTAAGGATGCACATTCAGCTTTGCTGCGCAGGGGGCGGACGAAAACTCCAACACCAAGGCATTCTGCAGCCCTTTCTCTTCACAAGGGTTGCGGTAAGAACCGCCTGGGCTGTTCAGCAGTGTCCGTGGGTCAAAGACGATGACAATGCCTCCAGGAGCCGATCTCGAGCCCAGCATCATGAGCATCACGTCAACATCGTTTTCCCAGGGGGGATAGTCGCTGAACATCGCTGAACCCTGAGCATTTGTGCTTTTGGCACCGATTCGAGGTTCTCGGCTTACAGCCTCCCAGTTACACGGACGCCCTCTTCCAGTTGAAGGAGGCAATCACTGAGCAGGGTCTGACAGAATACGGTAGCAAAACTGATGTAAGAACGAGGCTCGCCCACAACTTCGGCCACCAAACAACTGAAGTAGCCGGTTCCGGAGCCAATGTTCAAGAACCTCAGCATCGGTTCATCGCCAGGGCGCACGCAGTTTGGGCCGCACTTCCATTTAGATCCCGACGACATTCCAGGTTTCAACGGCATGAGAGCCTTCCACAGAAGCGTCTGATGGAAAGCACGCAGCACAGGGCAAACAGCATATCAACAATCGGTACCTCCAATGCTCTGGCGTAAATATGTGGTGCGGACCTCAGCGAGATCTTACACCTTGATGTGCGCACTTTTCCAAGAATCCGACGTTCAAAGGAGCAATCAATTGTCAGCTAGCCCTCTCATATTTCTTTGACCATCACGGTAGAGCCACTTTGCCCCATGCTGAATATTGCTGGTGCCGCTTCAACAAGCGAGCCACGACAATGGCAACTGAGAGGCTGGCTGATGCAGCTTCCCATGGCGCAAAGGAGCATCCTCAGAATTGTATCAAACACAGCGCATGTCCAACTCTGAAACTGTAATCAAAGCTGCAGGCCCCATAGATGTCCGATCCGAACGATCCTTGGGTCAGGAGCCAGTCGTCTCACTTATTAAGGGTCAAGCCCTATACCCCTTCCCGATCCACTTTCCACAACATTTCACAGCAGGGCCCCAACAACAAGCCATGTACGCCACTCGCCGCCCCGAACGGTATGCACAATTCGAGCCGGCGAGTGGGGGACATGGAGGGTCCTTCAGGTTTGGCGTACTGACGATGCTGCTTGATGCCCGTGCTAGTATAATGTGATGCGACGGAGTTTGGGGGTGGATTAGAACAAGCAGGAGAAGAAGTAGTTGGTAGTCGTAGTCACAGTAGCAGCAGTAGTAGTAGTAGCAGTGGCAGCAGTAGTAGTAGTAGTAGTCGTCGTCGTCGTCGTAGTAGTAGTAGCAACAGCAGTAGCAGTAGCAGTAGCAGTAGTAGCAGGAGTGGCAGTAGCAGTAGCCGTGATAGTAGTAGCCGTA